CCTCTCTGCCTCTCTGCCTCTCTGCCTCTCTGCCTCTCTGCCTCTCTGCCTCTCTGCCTCTCTGCCTCTCTGCCTCTCTGCCTCTCTGCCTCTCTGCTCTCTCAGCGGTCTCTCACCGTCTTTATCACTAGCTATACTTCACGCCCACAGTCTCATAGTACCTTCGCCTGGAGGCTGCAACCTTATTCTACTTTGAGACGACGCGGCGCTGTGTGAACGTATTTCTCTAGTTGAGGCCGTGTAAGCCCGGTTGAGCTGAGCCCGCATCCAAGATCGTCCAGAGTTAATAGTCTGACTGCGTGCCAGAACTCCTGACCTGGGTTCCGATTCCATCCAAGTTTTGCTGGATCACGCTGTGGGCCTTGTTTTTGCTTCTGCCTCGCCTCGCCTCGAGGATCCTTGCTCTCTCCAGAGCCCGTCTGTGGTCTCCGTTCAAGCAAGGCAATGAGAGGAAGATTGCAAAGGCCCTAGTAGGCGAAACGAGTCTTCTGCGATTCTGCGATATCCGGAATGGTACTAGCTCGAGTACCCCGCAAATAGAACTACTAGACGTTTTCGTGCTGCCTCTTTGAGCTTGAATATCTATCGAGCTACAAGCCCTGTATAGGTCTGTGTTGAGAGATCAAAGCAGTTAATAGGAGCAAGATCAGGTAAAGAGAGCCTCTACCGACTCACACTGTCTATGTTATGTCGCCGCCTTGACTCGCAACGGATCAATTGTGAATGATGGTTGCTCTGCTTCGTCATATTTTCGGACCGAGCTGCACTGATCACTATGATGATGGTCATCTTGATCTGAACCGACCCGTTTCCCGTTTTCTGGGTCGTTATTCTTGCCAGAACCCGAAACACGGCAGTGAATATCAAGTTCTGCCAAATATCAAATATCCGGGCATGAGATCAGCTCGGCTTCTACATCTTCTTGACGTATGAACGTGCTAGAGCCCCTCTTGCTACCCACTGTGAACGTTGGCCAGGGAAGCTTTTCATACTCCCCTCCAGTGAAGTCAACAACTGTGGCATCTGAAAGTAGCTTTTCTCTTAGTCTTCGTTTTCTTCTTAGAACCTCACTTCTACTGACTCAACCTCCTTTCTGTCACTTTCTGTTTTTCCTACTTCATTTGAACATACAAGTATCTGCAATTTCATTTGGATCTTCTTTTGGGCCTCGTCTGGCTCGTGGAGTGTGTGTACCACGTTTGACTTAAACCATCATTTGCTAAGCCCAAGTGTTTTTTGCTTTACCGTGATCTGCAACAACAAATAACGTACGCGGTAGCAGGATAGCACAGTGTCGACCGACGATGGAAAGCTCACCCACTTCGATCGCAGAACCATGTAACCTCATGGGCACATGGACCAGTTACGCCACTTCTCCCACTGACTCGCATTCAAACACTCAAGCCTCCCCTAACAACCAGCGAGATTTCCACAATCCATCCACCGAATCGAATCCTGGGGATACAACAATGTCTGGCTATGTCCAAACCCATGGTCACGAAATGAACAGTGGGGCTGGAAGCTTCATGTCTCAAGAGACCCCAGTCCTTCAGCCTCCTCTGGACTACGCACGGGCTCGCTTGCCACCACGACGACGGCGGGTATACAATCAACTTTCAGTACAGCAGGAAAGAGTATTTCTCAACCAGGCGCTTGACGGTGCCCACGCTACATATTACGCTCCCGCAACTGCTATGGGCCCGCCATCAAATCGCATGGGTACTCAAATGAACGGCCTTCAAGCGGGAGGCGTAATGGCATTGCAAGATCCGAACCCAACTCCAATGGAGCCTAGGACAAGCCACCAGGGACCTGTCGCACAGCCTCACTATTCGCCCTTGGCATCTAGAACTCTGCCGCAGACCCAAGGATTTGTGTCGAATGGATCCGTGCATGGACCAAGCCAGCCACAACTGCAACAGCCGCAGACCATTGCTCGCATGCCATATCCAGTATCTGTCGCATTGCCCAGGAGTAGTGTGCCAACCACGGCTGTCCCAATGACGGTACCAACATGGACACCCCAGTATGCGGCAGCTGTGAGGCCACTGCAGCCGCAGCCGCAGCCGCAGCAGCAACAGCAACAGCAACAACGGCACGATGAATGGCCACCATGGGAGCCTTCGCCAAGACCTGTTGCAGCTCTTCCGGCACGGACACCTCAACTGACGGCTTATGGCAGACTACCGCCAGGAATGGTGAATGGAGCCGTAGCGATGCACCCTCCACCCAATCCTCAGGCCCGGGCAAGCGAGTTCCGGCGTTCTCAACTGATGCATATGATGCAGCGATCACCACCCAATCCAGTGGATGCTCGAGCTATGCAGGAATATGCCCACAGCTTGAGCCGGAACCAACGCCTGCGTCAACCTCAGGGAGCCAGTACCAATCCTCCTTTGCAGCCGGAGAAGAGTCTAGACAACCAGAAAAACGGCCGCCCGGACCCGAAGGAGTCGGAAGAACTGAGCGTCAACCTAGAGTGCAAAGTCTGTTTCACGCAATTGGTCGACACCGTCCTGTTGCCATGCGGCCACGCGGTGCTCTGCCGGTGGTGTGCAGACACCCATCTGCCGAGTTGTCGGAATGACCCGACGCGCCTGGAGGGGGATCCGAGCTGTCCGATTTGTCGTGGGCCGGTGAGACACAAGGTAAGTCAGATAGATGGATAAAGGCATTCCAACAAGAAAAGCGGGACACTATTATGTGTGTCCTTCCCAAGACAAGCTTGGCTAATGTGATATCCAGGGCAGGATTTACTTTTCGTGATTGTTGTGTGGTTGGGTAACGCCACTGCCTTGTTTTTTCCCCTGTCGTGTTGTTGCTACATTTGGATAACGACGTTCGGTACTGGTGAAAGAATGAGATGTCATGTCGCTGCACCAACACCAGATATTAGAGTCGTGAGGTAAGAAAGTACAGTACAGTACAGTAATTGACCTACATATTTTCTGTGTCAATGCTTTTGGGGACTTCCTTTTGTCGCTAGTTCCTGGAGATACCAAGAAACAGAACTTGAAAATCGATATCTCATCCCGGATTCTCCGACGAGTTATTCCAAGTCTCGGTCGTCGTGCAACTTAAGTTGAACTCAAGGTAGCTCCACCGTCTGCGAAGTAAACCAACCCTATCCCTCTAACAGGCTAACAAGCGAAGCTGTGATGTAACACGCACAACCATACGGAGAGCATAAGAAGATATCCCCGAGGTCACGTTACGAACATCTGCAGCCACCGCATGGTACTGTAGTACCGGTAACTAAGTTACCCAAACCAGAAATAGTGCGGTAGTCCAGCTGCGTGGCAGCCACTATCCACAAACAGCAAGAGCCAGAAAATAGCAAAGACCGGAACCAAACACCGGATCGAAGGAAGCTTCTTCTCTCCCTGGCTTCTGTTTTTCCCCCCTTGTTCCACCATCCACACCGTACCGGTACTCCGTAGTCTGCCAAATCATACCATTACTTTTCTCCCCGATTGTCTTCCCGATGATCTCCCCGAGCCCGCGCCTGTCAACTTTGCCCCGTCCGTCGGGGCCGCCTACCTTGATTAACTACTGAGAAGGAGAGTTTAAAAAGAGGGACAGAAAAAAAACTCTCGTTCGATTTGATCCGATAGAGGGAGGGCCTTTCATTGGCAGATCTGAGGAATGCTTGGGCTTGATTCTGTCATCGGAGATCTCTCGATTCGACCCTCGGACCCGATCTCGTAGACGACTGGTGAATATGTGTCGTGCAACTCGGTCTTCAAGACTTCTACGAGTAAGTTAGTCTATCTGGCACTGCTTGTCACTCTCACATGTGTTTCATTGTTCAATTTTCTTGTGGTATACCTGTCATTGAAGGACGGTCCAGACCCTGGGACATGACTCAGTGGTGCTGTGTGTGTGTGTCCACCGCTGGGTTTCGCTCTTCTAAATCTGTCCATTTCGATCGTCGAGGTCCCTTTCCTTCGTGTATGAATTAGGTAGGAGGGATGCTTCAAGTTCCAATTGCATCCGCGAATCTTCACTTGGATTTGGGGTCAATCTCTAAATTTGACCCCATTTTTTGCCTGGCTCAAATAAACATGGCTGCTTAGCTCGGGCTGTTCTGTCTGTTTTGTCCCTGTCATTTCAATTAGTCTAGCCAGCCAGCCACGATCAGCAATAGACAGGCAGTATGAAGATCGCGGATTGGTTTCACCATCCTGTTTCGGTTTTGGCTTTTTTCTTGCCCTTCCACCCCCCCCCCCCCGTCGGATTTCCTGGAAATCCTCTCTCTTTGATCTGGTCAATACCCACTTGCCGCTGTTCCCCGCTCATGCTGTTCCTGGATCTCTCCCCTGGTGCTCTCGATCTATATTTCCCGGCTAAGTTGCAGGTTTAGCGCTGAACTTGTTGGCAAAGGTCATACTCGGTAGTCGTCAACTGACCTTTCGGCCATGTTTTGTGCCCTCCTGTCGCGCACATGCTTGAGTCGGTTACGAGGTTCTGTCTGGGACAATGCATGTTGAATCAGACTAGAAACAAGACCAGCCCACTTCCACTACCCGGGCATTGATCCCGACCTCTGCAAGATAAATCGATAGTACATGCGATGTTGTGAAGGAGGGGGAGAGAAAGTTTCGAGCTCTAGCCACGCGACAAGGAAGCTGCGAATCTCTCCGAGTCGGTCCCGACGAGGCGGCACAGGCAGTAGATCCCGGTTTAGCGAAAGATCTATGATTCTCTCTTTCGCGCTGTATCCTAGTTTCTCGAATATCTATCCTTGATTGATGTGTTCTCAATTGCTTGTTGCATGGAAATCGAGTAAGCAACATCGCTGCTGATCGAGTCTAGAAGCTGGTGGCAGCCCGTCGGGGCAGGATTGGCGAGTACGTAGCATGTAGCACGTAGCATGTGGCGGGAAGCCATGCTAAAGACAAGATACTCGAAGACGCCACGTAGGGGACTTGGAGTGTAGTTGACCGATACCTCGTTACCGACAAGAGAAATTCCTTTTCCGTGCCACTCAGAGACTGAAGCTTGTAGCGAGAAAAAGGTCTCCTGGGCAAGAGTCTTTTTTAGTTGATCAAACTGACGTGCCATATGCACGGGGGACTTTCGAACCAATAGCCGGTGTTGGATTGGCACGAAGTAACTGCTGTGGCTGATTTGGAGACGGACGAGATCCCACGAATGAGATTGCTTGGACACTCTCGGTCTTAGTATCGATGCTGGTGCTAATGTAGTGGTAATGGGTTGGTAAATTGACACTGCAGGGTCGCTTTGCATTTATCGTGTTCCGCATCGTTGTTGGGGGCTTCGAGGACTCAAGCAAGTAGAGGTGTAAGGAAGAGCGAAAGGAATTTAATGTACCGCTGTCGGGAAACTGTACAGTAAGTTATAGCAAGGCTAATTGGTAAGCTCTTCCTCGTACGCCGAAGCTCGAGCTCTTTCGTCCATAGCCATGAGTTGTCAATCGACGTGGCTTGCATGGTTGACACTATTGTAATTCCAGCGAAGAAGGGTTGTTCGCCTTCCCCCTGGTCGAATTGTCATCTACTCCGTTAGGAACAAGGACCGAGTGAAGCTCTTTTACTCATGATGGTTGGTGAGTTTTGGAAGTTGATGAACAATCTATTCCGTACTCATGTAGGTTCATGTGCAAAGAAAGGACGCGCCAAGGAACGGCAATGCACATGGCCAGGTATGGGTCGCATTGGTTTAAGGCAACCACCAGACTCGTTGCTTGGGTGGCTTGTCAAGGAGTGAGAGAATAGCTACTGTGGGAGCAATGAGTTAGCGCTGTCACCATAGGTCATTAGGTGAGTTGATCACTCTTGGAGAGAACACTAGTGGTTCTTGTGTCCGAATTGTTGGGAGAATCGAAATACTCGGTGATACCATGCAGACAAATAATTATGGGTTAGAAAACCACTGAGGGTATCCCGAGACTAGTGATGCTTCAGGATTGTCTCAAGAACTGTCTCAATGTAAAGGAGAAGTGGACAGTGGGTGCATTGCGAGGATATAGCGGTATATTCGTTTGCCTTGGTTCGGTGGGTCGTACGGCAGTAGTAGTCACCTACTGTATGAACAGTACCAAGTACTGTACATACTGCATACAGATCAGATCTGCCGCTGAGCGAAAATACAGATTGAAATTTTGTGTGCGATATCGGTATTGAAAGAAAGATGAGTATGATCTCAGAAAGCTGTTCACTGGATTAGCATAGATCCTAAGTAGAAGGAGGAGGTGGAAAAGAGACCCATGATACCCGCTGGGAAGGTTTGTTGTGTTTGGGTAATGGGAGCCGAGTCCACCTTCGACAACCGATCGCTCGGCAAGCACGAACGAAGCATGTACATGTACAGTATTATACGGAGTACAGTACCTACTGTAGCAACCGTACTTCTATCGAAGGAGCTAGTTACCTAATTAATCATGCTACGTAATTTGAGAACGAAGAAACTGGCAGACTGTCACATAGTATACAAAGTCTCCTGTACTATGCAGATGCATGTCTCGTGTATGTTTAGGTTCTATACTGTCATCTGAGGCTCGGATTTTAGTTCTCTTTTAAGAATGATTTAACTAAATTAATGTACAGAGTACATTACAACTGTAAGTATTGTCCCCTTTTGATGTCAACGCACTTTGCTTCCGGCTCTGGCCCAATGCCAATCAGACAGATAACTCTAATTGATAATCGCGCACTGGAGGCTGAAGCTATAACATGCCTAACTATAGTCAGGCATCATTAGATTCGAAAAGAGATCCTCGTGTCTGACACCTACACTATTCGAGCTAGTGGGACCACAAATAACCCAAGGACCCAAAGACAAGGGCTGATACGCTCAGACCAAACTGAGTGCAGATGACAAATGTGTTTCCATGCTCTCCTACGAATGACTGATAGTTATCCGAAACTATTCATAGCCAGTATGTTCCACCATTACATACGACTATTTTCCGTGAGTGGTCGGTGACTCGGACTGCAGGTGCTCACTAGGGCACCGCCAGCCTTATTAAAACAACCTGAGCGATCAGACCCCGAAATCGTGAGGCAGAAGCTTCAATCCTCTGTTGTTGAACGTGGCGCGCTGATCATGGTCGAATCTATCCTCACGCGATACCTGCCCGGGCAAAGGTAGTGTAACCGACGATGTTTATGGTAGCACGGCGTACAGCTTCGAGGATGCTAGTAGCCTTCATCCATACAAAGTACAGTCTCGCTGGTACCGCTTGACCTGGAATCTCATCGAATGCTAGGACTGTGCACGTATGGGTGACCCCAACACGACTACCTCGCAAAGATTGCTGTCCATGTCTATCAATAGACCGAATAAGCGGTGTCCATGCAAGGGCAAACCCGATTATTAGGAACGAAGAGAATATACCCCCCAGGAAAAGGTCCAGAGGACGGCTGTTGCGGCTCCGCCGGGTGCAGAGTCCTGCTAACTTGAAGAAAACGAAGAAGCCGGGTCATCACCAGCAATGTGAGTAGGATCGTTGCAGAGGCCCAAGACCACCGGCGGAGATTTGCATACGTGAGACCTTGAAATCGACAATGATTCATAATTCCATTGCCGGGAAGCCGATCGAGGCCAGGATTCAGCCGTCAATCATCGGCTCGTCGATAGATGGGGATGCTATGGCCACAAGCAGTCTGGCCAAGGAATGTGGATCAGTGGCGAAGTATCAACGATTTCGCGTGGAAAGGTGTTCGAGAAAGGCCAAAGTGCACCCTATGACGCAAGGGCAGAGCCATCATCATTCCTGGAATTAAGCTTGTCAGTCAAGTGGCAGCGATGAGAACTTGATTGAACGACGTCGGCAGCCTGCTGCATGCAAGGGAGTGTGGGAGGGTGGCCCAACCCAAACAGTCGGGTTCGGCATCAAGGAGGTCGCAGAACCCACCTGCATGAGCTCCTTAGTATTGATACGCATGTAGGGGGACGTCCTGATAGAGACATCTCAAATCACGCACTTAGGAGTTGAACAAAGTTTCAAGTGGAGTCACGGATACTCGAGACATGGGCATTAATGCATTTGACTCTTGACACGGGATATGATTGAAGATACCTACCGTACTCCGTACTCCGTAGTATGCTTGACAAGGCGACCTGACTCGACCGGACCGTTGACAACTTTCCTAATTGAGGCATAAGCAAGCATGCGTCGGGAACTTAAAAAGGTCGTCGAATCGAGAGAGAGCTTGAAGAATGGTGAGCCTCGACGCCACCAAAATATGACAGTGTACTTTGTTCTATCTTATTTCAGTCTTATTTCAGTTGTGGTTTTTCTATTATTATTTGTTTTTCATGGTCATTTTATGAGGTCCGCGATGGACCGATGGCGAGGAAGAAACGATCAGCCAGACACAATTGAGATCGCATGTATCGAAAGGAAGCTGACGAAATTTGTTCGGATTGGCAAGGAGCTTCATGGTTGATGAGTAAGTAGGGTAGTATGAAGGAGGAGACTCGAGTGACGACAAGGCAACCAGGCAGCCAGACAACGGCGACGCTGGTGGTTTGTTTCCCGTCAGTCAAGAATACCAGAGCATTACCATTCAAAGGTTCTAACCACAATAAATTACCACCAGCCTCGCCTTTCCCCCCTCAGAGGTCGGTTTGACTCGTGCTCTGTTTTGTCTGTCTGGTCTGTCTGGTCTGTCTGATCGTGGAACTCTTCCAATGGTTTCCTCGCCTTCCGTCTCGGCACTTACCTTACCTTACCTTACCAATTTTTTTTTTACCCAGCTTAACTACACAGTATACGGGGGGGTTCTTCCATTGCTTCTCATTAACCTTTCACCCACCACATCTCCCCACTTCACAAAAGTTGCTTACTTACTTTAGCCTCTGTCGCCTTTTGGGACATATCCATTCTTTGATATTGTGCACTGTGCTGTGTACTGTACACTTCCCTTCCCCAGCAATCTCTTGTCGGCTTGTTTTGTCCTAGCTGCCAGTAGGTGTTCGTGCGCGCCTTCCTCGGTGATTCGGTTTGTTCGCACAGGCGTTTCTGACCCCCCCCCCCCCCCCAGGCAGAGATGGGGTTAGTTGCCTAAAGAACCTAAACCACTTCCATGTCTTCGTTCTTATAAATAGTGTTTCCCACTGTTCCCTGCTATTCCCAAACGCCCCCTTTTCTATTAAGCTTTATCTCGACACTGCCATTGCCCACTTGCCTGGCCTTATTCCGTGGTTGGCGGTCTTTCCACTATATCTATCTCGTGCGTATTCCCCAGAAATTCTGAATTCGGATCTACATCTTGCAATCTCCCTGCCTGCGAAAGATAGGAACTATGGGAATGGGGCGTTGATTAGAGACCTGAGAAGACGTCCGAGACTCAATTTCTTTCAGCACTCTTTCCCAGTCTCCTGTCTTCATTCCCTGTCCTTTTGTATGAGACCGACAGAGGACTAATTTTTGATCAGATGACGTTTGATCTACGCCGCCAATACAATGAATGTTGGAACTGATGGTCAGGAACATCGGTCACCTCCGCGTCAAGACTCAGCCGAAGGCGCCGCCAAATCTCTAATGTGAATAAACCCTTACCCTCTCAAACCTGTCCTAGCTGCTGTGCCTTTAATGTATGAGCTCTGAGCCTTGAGCAAGCTTCTAACCTCATCTACAGAAAATCATCTCCACCGTCGCCTCCGGGTGATATCTCTCCAGCTGATTCATCGACTACAAACCCAGTTATTCACTCGGCCAGTGCCTCTTTCTCGCATGTAGGAAGCGCCAGTGAGCATTTTCTCGAATTCAATCTGTCGACCGCGCCGGAGAATCACCTTGACCAGCAATGGGAGGAAGACTGGGGTGAAGAGATATCCTCGACTCGCCCATCAGATCTAGAAGCCATCGAAAACCGAAGAAACCATGACGAGAAGCATGAGCTAGGCGCTGATCACGATATGTCTTTGCAGCATCGGTCAAAAAAATTCCAACTTAGTCCGACACCGTCCGATGACGGCCTACCTCTATTTCGGAGCGCCAGCCCGGATCAAGGGACCTCCTCGCCCCACCAATCAGGCGTGTGCTCGGAGGATGCTAACTATGGCCGAAAATCCGCGAGACAGTTGAGCGAGGAGCCAAGGCTGCCAGAGGTTGGCATTGCAACAACCGAAGGTACAGCATCACCTCGGTTCTTGCCCCAGCTAGAGGTTGACTTGCCAACAGAAGAGATGATAATCAATGATATCCACATGATTTATGCCGGTCTTGACATGTGCGAGAAAGTAGCCATTAGATATGACGAGCAGTTTTCCGCCATGGACACCGTGGCCTCGCAAAATCAACTTGAAAAACTTACCCAAGTGCATTTGACGCTAGTGAGTGAGCAGCATGATTTCTTCAGAGCCTGTTCAGATCCGGCTGCAGGCCCCAGTGTGAAAACCCTGCCTGATGCATACATGATGCCAACTCGCCTGTGGCGCTACGGGATTCATGACTACTTGGAAATGATGCGCCACCAACTCCCTGAGTCCCTCGAGTACATGCTTGGCTTTATACAAGACGTTTACAAAACGATGGCCTCTATGGTATCAGAGTTTCCTGCCTATGAAGAGACCTGGTTGGAGTGCTTGGGGGATCTTTCGAGGTACCGAATGGCCGCGGAAACCACTGACACAGAGGACCGTAGGCTGTGGGCTCGCATTGCAATGACTTGGTACAATCGAGCAGCCGATCGGAACCCAGGCATGGGAAAATTCCAGCACCATCTTGGAGTCATGGCTCGACATGATGTCGCACAGAGACTCTTCTACTACACAAAATCTCTACTTGTCCAGCAGCCTTTTCTGGGCACAAGGACGAGTATTCTCGACCTATTCAATCCATTTCTTAGAAACTTCATGGCAATGCGCCGTATCCCACCAGTTGGCCCATTCATCGCTGCCCACGCATTTCTTTTTACCGGAGACTTTGGCGACAGACTTTACCATTCCGTCAATATTTTCCTGTCCCATCTGGATCAATACGTGACTCACCTCAATGAGAAATTCATCTTGCAAGGGTTTTTCATATCAGCCAGTAATATCGCCGCGATCATGGGATACGGGCACGAAGATGCACTACTACCACCTGAGTTTGATGTATCGACTGGGTTACCGTCAGCAGATCCCCAAGGCTCTTCTGCAGCGGCAGCTCTTCGCTGGACTTCACCTGATGATCTCGACACGGTGCAGATAGACTTACTCGCCTATAAAGAGTCGCCAAACATGGCACCGACACTATTCTATGGCTCTTATATGGCGTATCGGACCATGTCAGTGCTTCTTGATCGAATTGGGGACCAAAATATCTACGCAGCATGCCATGTCTATCTTGCATTTCTGTGGTGTCTTGCATTGACTCCCACGGGAATGAAGCATGTGGAGGCCGTCGTACCTTGGAGGAACATCTCAAGTTTTCTCAATTCTTTGTTTCGCAGCTACATCAAGCCGGGTATCGCCGAAAAGCCGGAGTTCCCAGTCTCCGAGGAAACGACATGGGTTGCCGAGGACTACCTTATTAGAGGACACTGCTGGAGCGAACGCTTATACCCTCCATCGTTTTTCGATGGTGCGCCTTCTGTAGACGACATGAGGAATGACGAACTGCCGTCTCGTTGCATCACGAGGATGTATAGATGTATATGGTTAGGCGTGAGGCTCTCCACGGTATGCTCGCAATGCACCCGGGTTGACAGTGATATACTGATAGAAGACAGTTCAACCGCTGGATAACATACGATGCCGGTTCTCACAAATTCTCCACAACTCGATTTGCCCTGGATCTAGAAACGATTGCCGAGAGAAATGATCCATTTGCCAGTCGAAAAAGCTAACAAAGGCAAGCCGCGCAATGAGCGAAGGTATCCATGCCCTGAACAGATCACATACACGGAAGGTCACAGGATGGGACTTTTTCCCTATTATATCGTCCCAGTCACCGCGGACAAATTGAACAGAATAGCTTTCGAGCTAGCATTCTGAAACATTATACACAGTCTGGGAATGGGACTCATGCACCTCTCCAACCCATACCATGGCTTATAAAGTTTTCTGATGCCAACAGAGGTTGAGGATAGCGATCCCATGAGCTGCCAAAGTACTGTACCTTCGAACAAAGTTAATGGTCTGGAGAGAGAATTTCACCGCCATGTAGGAAGTCGAGTGTTTCATTTCTTAACGATCCATTGCCGTTACAGAAACAGATCTACACAGGCTTCTGACTTCATGTCAGCCACATACATGGCTTGATATAGCAAATAGTCACTTGTATCTATCCATAGCATCGATAAGAGCAATGAGACCCGAATTGGTCAGAAGTCCGAACCTGACAGTCTTCGATTCTGAAGCCGAGCCTAGATAGCCTAGATAGCCTCAGTAAGCGTAGTTTTACCCATATATTTGAAGGAGAGAATCTTGCGACCGATAGAAACAACAGGGGAAAGTCTCCACTTGGGTGACGACTGAGGCCGCGCAAAAAGGACAAGTAAGTTTAGTGAGTGAGTGGTTGCGCGTTAGCCGTCTGTCTCGGCTCGGCGGGAGGAGCGGAGTTCAACTTGACTAGTGGACTCCGTTCTCCGTACTGTTTGAGTACTATACTAAGTTACTCGCTGTGAGTGCTCCGTAAGGTAATTAAACCCGCCTGCCTGCTTGCTCGGATCAACCACGTTGCCTCCACTTCCTTCCCCCTCAACTATCAATAATAGTAGGATGGCTATCTCCCTCACTCTGGGATCGCTTCCCTCTCCCTCTTAATTGTTGTTTCCTATACTCATCACCCTTCACCAATCCACTTACTCCAGACATTTTCCGTGTCGCATGGCTGGCCAGGATCGGATTGTCCCTGTTCTTATCCCTTTGAGCAATTGAGCTCGCACCTTCAGGCTTCCGCGGCGACTGTCCCGATTCATCGCTTCGACTTCCCCCCTCCCCCCTCCCGCTCGACCTGCTGCTGGATTGCACCATGGCTCAAGAGGCGTGGTCCGACATCTGCGTCCAATGCGTTGAGCTTCTGGTCAATGTTCCAGTCTCCGTATTACTTGTCACCTTCGCCGCGACATTGACTGGTTTCCTTGTGCTGGTATGTTTACACCTGGTCTAAATCTAATCCCTTGGTGCACACTGCCCTTTGCTCGCCAGTCGTCTCGGGCCATGGCTGACTGCTTTTCTCAATGAAATAGGTCTACGCTACCCTCTACGCGGTCGCACCTGTACCACGGAAGCCTTACCCCGAAGAGAAACAATATCGAACGCTCACGAAAGATGGAGCGATCACGGAACCTCAAGCACTACCTTGTTGGCAAGATGCGTTGGACGCCAAGAGGCGTCCCGGTCGCACCCTCGATAACCCTTCCGTGGAGGAACCTGAGCTGTTCCTTTCTCTCGTCGTGCCCGCGTACAACGAAGAAGATCGTCTCGGGGGTATGTTGGAAGAGGCTGTGAATTATCTGGAACGGATGTATGGGACGGTGACCGGCGCTATTCCAAATGGCGTCGATGCGGATACAGCGCAGAAGACTTTCCGTCAGCGCAAGTTGGCGAACGGGCATGCCAATGGCAGTGCGACATATCACCCCGTGCACGACAACAAGGGCTGGGAGATCATCATCGTCTCAGACGGGTCCAAGGATAAGACGGAAGAGACGGCCTTCACGTTTGCCCGAGACCACCAGCTCTCGCTGCACCCGAAGGGCTATTCGGGTCCTTGGACCCCGGGGACGAAAGAGGGTGTCCACATCCCGCCGGGCACGATTCGGGTGGTGACCCTAACTGAGAACCGAGGCAAGGGCGGTGCGGTGACTCATGGTATGAGGCATGTCCGCGGGCAGTATGTGGTGTTTGCCGATGCCGATGGAGCCAGTAAGTTTGAGGATCTGGGCAAGCTTGTCGCTGCCTGTCAAGGGGTTGAGGACTCCCTAGGCCGTGGTGTGGCCGTGGGATCTCGCGCCCATATGGTTGGAAGTGAGGCGGTGGTCAAGGTAAGCTTCATCGTGTCGCCCATGCACGACTCCATTTACGAGACTCGCGGGAGAGCTGCTGCTAATCGGTGATGACAGCGGTCCAAATTGCGCAATTTCCTCATGCATTCGTTCCACTTGATCCTCTGGCTGTTGACTCCATCCAAGACCGCCACTATCAAGGATACCCAGTGCGGCTTCAAACTGTTTACTCGGGCATCGTTGCCATATATCATCCCGTACATGCATTCCGAAGGATGGATCTTCGATGTGGAAATGCTCATGCTGGCCGAGTTTGCCGGCATTCCGGTGGCTGAAGTGCCGGTGGGCTGGCGCGAAGTCATGGGCAGTAAATTGAATGTGGTGCGCGATAGTGTCGGGATGGCCTGGGGATTGGCCGTTTTGCGGGCCGCGTGGTTACTCGGCATCTACCAGCGCAAATAATACTTTAGCCGATGTATGCGTTGGGCCTATTTTGGGTCAAGGACACGGCATGGCGCCGTAATAAAGCTTTGATTAATTTGATCGTGTCCTAGAACTGGTATTTGATTATCTTCAAAACACTGTCTTTTTCAAGGCAGGTGCATGGGCGTGTAGAGCGCGGCGTGTTCCTCATCCGTCATCGGTGGCAAATTCAGGACCGGCAAGCTGGATTGAACTGCGGGGAAGAACGTATTGGATATTGCATCACCGGCGGGTCGAGCATGACTGAGAGACTGCGGGTGTAGACTATGTTATGTACTGAGTAAATAGGCTTCTCTGAGGTGCCACGCCGTTGAGACTTCTCTAAGCAGTAACTGGCACAACTTAATAGTGGCAATAGCCTGGTTCCATTCATTCCTTCATAGTCTTTGTCTCTCTCTCTTTCTCATCGGCTGGCACGGGTAATCCCGAGAGCCTCGCCCTGTCGATAGACTTTTTCAATAAACTTCTGGGCCGAAGAAAAAAAATTTCTATGTAAAGAAAAGAAGAATTGAAAAAAAAAATCGATCGGTCTTGGTTCGGTCCGAGTCTTGTCATATTTTTTTTTCTTTGCTCTACGTTACCCCCCTTTTGCCATTTTTCTGCAATATATTCGAATGATGCCGGTGTGAGGTGATGTCTTAGAAAGCCAAAGCCCAAAGCCCAAGAAAGAGGGGGGTGGTCTGATATTCATCCGTCTTTGCTTTTTGGCCCCGTTTCTAGCTCTCATTTTCTGCTGCTGACCCGGGATTGCCTCCTTATACATCCATTTGCGTTATCAGACGGCACTTGGCATGATCTGATCGATTCCTCAATTTATCCAGTGGTGATCCGGTATCTGTCTGCTGGCCTCGACGACGCCTTGCCTGACGTGAATCGTCTCGAATCTGGTCCTTTATAGCCGATGCTACTAACGTAGATCGGATATACCGATATATATAAAGCAATCCGGCGGCTGGGGTAGTATCATGAGCCGGTCTGATCTACTAATTAAAACTAGTTCATTCTTCACACAAGGATTGACCTACTAAGCCCCGCGACGATATCTAACTACTACTATCTGATTATCGTCATACCTTCATCAATATCGTTGTTGTCAAATTGACGGAATCTACACAATGGGGGTACCGCAGCATATCGACCGACCGCCGGTGACTACTGCGTCGCAGAAGAAGTCGGCAAGCATGTCGTCGCATCTTCTCAAACTGCCCCTCGAGCTTCGTCTCATGATCTATGAATATGCGCTGGACGTCCCGAACGACTACATGGACCGGCCGATGATTGTGATCAACGACCGCGGCAATGTGTTCACCGCGCGCGGACGGTATCGGGCCCTCTCCATGTGTCCCAGCTGGGTGGGCGAGAACGGTCGAGTGCGGAATCTCCTGTCCGTGAACCGGCAGATTCACGACGAGGTCGAGGACTATGTGTACTCGCACAACACCCTCTTCTTCCTCAACTCCTTCAACCTCGACCGCATGGCCGCCTTCCTGGACACCCTCAGTGCCACGGCGCGGGATCGCATCCGCAGCGTCGGCTTCGAGATCTTCTTCTTCGTCCATTCCCAGACCGGGGTGCCCAAGCGCACCCTGAAGGAGTACGAGCGAGCGGCGCGCATGCTGCGCGACAAGCTGCCGCACTGGGAGAGCACCCTGTTCTATCTGGATCCGCGGTTCTATTACCCGTCCGCCTCGGTGGGGGGTCTGCAGTCGTCGGCGCGAGGCATCTGGTCGCTAGCCACGATGTTCGGCGCCCTGGGCAAGGATCTCCATTTCTTCCCCTTGCCGTCTATGCACCGATATGTCATGGACGACGCAAAGAAGCTGCTGCAGGATCGGACGCGGGCGTCGCCTCAGAAGCTCGTCTTTTAGGTCGATGGATGCTAGCCTTGTTATCCTCAGTGGCCTGTTCGTCGGCGTGTTTTCGAAGGAGGAAAGCCAAATCATTTCCACCTCATCTCAGCCTTTTGCATATCTTTTTGCTTTTTTTCATCCTCGGTGGACATGAGCTTGGAGTTCTTTTTTTCCCCCTCTCTCTTTTCCCGCTGGTGTGTATCCGATTGGCACTGTTCTATACTCCAGGTTACCTGTGGGGACTATCATCTGCAGGATGACGTGGAGGACCGACTGAAACCGAGGGATTTACTCTACCTTAACCAAAGGGTAAACTCCTTGAGTCTTGGTGATTCTCCAATCATAATATAAAACAGTATTATGAGTGTCCGCGCGGTCGCCAGCGGCGGGAGTTCTGTTGCGATGGTTTTTGGCTGGTTGCGCCACTGGAGGGAGTTCGGGTTAGCATAAGGATGGACATTGAAGGAGTTCTGGGGGCATTTTTGGGGCGCGATCTTTGCACATATTTGTATATGTATATTGTATAGATTTTGCTCTTTTTTTTCCTTAACAATTTCATGGTCA